TCTTATTCTATCTTTTGTCCTCAGTTCCTGTGTAATTCCAGCAAGAATGTCATCTATCAATGTACAAATGTTAAATCGTCCCAGTCATGAAATATTAACAGAATGCATACAATTATGATTCCTAAATTGAAGTCTTTCTAGCTGCAATTTGTCACATCTACAATTGTACAGTGGTATTAGTAGAGTAAAACTAGAAAACTGAAATAGATGTATTAGAAAAATAGCATTTCTAGTACATGCATTTAATATAGGTAAGCCCTGAACTTGCTTCAGCTGAGGTCAACAGGAGTTTTTCCTTGGACATTAGTGGAAGCAAAATGACAACTCCTTCAATGTCTTTGTTCTGAGCAACAGATGAACAATGTAATAGCAGTTCTTATTTCCTTCATGCAAAGGTTTAGATTTTCTGTAGCAAAGTAGAATGAGTATGCTACTAATTATTTTCCAGATGTCAGTATTATCTGTTCAAAGTTTTAAAGGTCTTCTGCAATCGGTACCTAGAACAGGCATGTTAACTTTTTTTATATTCCCTGAAAGAAACTGAGATAGACAATGCTAGGGGAACAGATCCTATGGACAATCTTTGTGTGTGAAAGAATTTAAAACCTAAAAAAAATAGTGTGGAATAAAATTAAGTACAGTTTTGTCACATTTCATCCAGAATTTAAGAATATTGCAAGTCATTTTTTTCTTGTACTTCATTACTATTCTTTTCCAGCAGTACCCAAAGCAGTGTTATTATAATGAGAATATTTTTTATCTCAAATAACTATTTCCTGTGAGTACCATGTTCCTGTCTAACTTTATTACCACTTTACATGCTACGGACCTTGATTCTGGCCCTAGCAACCTCATCTGACTTTGAAGTTACCCCTGCTTTTTGCAGCAGGTTGGACTAGAGACCTTGAGGTCCCTTCAAGCCTGTGCTTTTCTGTAATTCTGTGATATTTTTTCTGCAATTTTTCTGTAATTCTGTGATTCTACAGCAAGTTTTCTGAAGAGAAAAATGAGTAATATATGGAGTGTCCTTTCCACTACCCATACCACAAAATCAGATGTTTGTCTTTTCTTTTGCTCTTATCTGATCACTTGTGGGAGCAGCCCAGACTGCCTGCTGATCTCATTTCATGCACACTTATCTCTGCTGATCTTCACTTTAGGTCTTAGTCTCCTCCATTTCTTTTGCTACACTATAGAAATATGGTGTAATCTCATGCCTTTAGAAAACAAAAGCTTTTCTAACTGTTACCTCTCTTTTAACACTTAAGCTCAGTTTCCTTCCTGTAATTGTCATACTCTACCAAACTGGCATTTGCCTGCCTTTCATTCTGAGGAAGCCAGTGTCTCATTTTGATCACAGTCCTTAAGAACATATTCTTAACCAGCCTCAAAACCACTATTTTATACTTGTCTGTCTTGTGGGTCACCTTCAGTGAAGCCAGCGGTGCTTTTTCCCTTATATCCTGTCATCCTCTTTTGATTCCTGTCACCATTTTTGTTTATTTCCTTTGCTTTCCTAATTGTTTTTGTGAGCAGGTAGTTTGGAAGAACCTCCACTTTCCTGTTTCCTGTAGTGGTCCAAGCGTTTCCTTCTCTTTTCCCTCCACAGTATGTCTTGTCGGTGACTGATTCCACAAATACTCTTTAAGCTAGCATCTGTATATGAAAAACCTGCAGATCTGCTTCTCCAGTCCAGACCAGACTCTTAATTTTTCAAGCAAAAAAAGTAATTATGCCTATTGATATAATCTTTTGGAGGTCTAGCTTATTTAAAACTTAATACATCCATACATGTAAAATATCCTTCCTTATTTTTAAATTTCATAACATGTCCTTCAAAACCGGGGTAATTATCTTAAAGTCTGATTTCTGATTCCTCTCTAAATTTCACTTAATTTCTTCTTACTACCTGTAGGATACAGATGTCTTTACCCATTCCCATAACAATCTCAAGCTGTATCACCTGTTGACTGCAACATTTCTTCCTCAAGCTTTGACAAAGCAACTTCACTGCCCTTACTCATTCAAAATTCTACCGCAAATGTAAATTCTTAAACATTATTTTGACTATGCCATCTCTTTTGTTAGTTCCTTCACTGGTGCCCTTTCACTGTTTCATTAGATGTACACACCTTGTCTTTACTTTAAAGGTTATTCCGGACCGCTTAATCACTATTCACCTTTAATTGTTGGTATATGAAGTTTTCAAACAAACTTTTGTCCATTCTCTTGTGTTTTGAGAAGAGACCAATATAGTGGAAAAATCACTGTTAGGAGGCATGAGCGGGACTCCAGAGAACTCAAGTGACTGATACTATTAAACAGATATCCACCTCTACCTGCTTAAAGCTTGAGTGTCCTTCCGAATGAGAAGGGACTACTAAACCAGGTCAAACAGGAACAGAGGTTAGTTGACACACAGGGCTGGTCAGGAACTTAGATCCATACAGCTCCCTCATTATCCAGCCTTCAAATCTCACCCGCTGATTTCCCCTTTTCATCATACATACAGCATAAAAAAAATTACAATATTTAAACCGATGGTGTGCTGAAACCATTGCTCATCAGCTAGACAAATATTGACATTCATTTTACCTTTTCATCCATGTTTTTTTTGTCTTTTGTCTTAACTTGGCTTATAACCACTCTGTGGGAAGTCCCTGTTTTTGTTCTGTGTTTGTACAGTGTCTAGCCAGTGGGATGCTGGTCTGATTAAGCCTCACAGGCACTCTGGTAACGCGAATTAAAAACAATACTGCTTTCTATTGCTGCTACTGCTACAGAGACTATTGGCTGTGGGAAGCTGAATTCTATGGCTGCATACTGAACAATACACCAAATCCTCATCACTGGTCTACTGCAAAACTATTAAAAGAATTGCAGCATCACTGGGGACTTGAAGAGAGAAACTAATTTAATTTTCATACAACTGGAAAAGTAAATGCAAAGAAGAAAAACATTTTAAAAACCCCTGTACGTGGAACAAACATGGAACTTTGTGTGCCACTTTTCAATGTTACTTTTTCAATTCAGTATGAAGTTAAAAATATGGGTAAAGCAAAAAATAGACAATAGGGACCCTTCTTTCACTTTTTCCAATCCTTTATCTTCTCCTTTCCATCATTTCATTTTGTTTAACACAGAAATGCCCACTACCAGCATATTATGAGGATTTTAAAATTTATTTAATTTTATTGTAAACAACATCTACTTAAGTCTTTTAAGCAAAAATTGAGAAAATACAATGTAAGGCCTTCTCTAAAATGTTTATTTTTTTTCCTATGGCTAATACTAAGGTTCTCTCATTTATCCAAAAGATTATGCACTGTCAATATACCTTGTAAACCTGAAGGGGAAAAATAGGTTTTTCTTGATGATTTGCACTTCTAAAGGCTCTTCTAACTCACTCAATATTAAGACTGGGGTAAATACAGCATATTATATTTTAAATATTTTGAATTACAATATCTCAGACTATTTATGCTGCTAAAAGAGTAGGGGAAAGATTTTTATTATGAGACTGAACATGAGTTTCGAGTCCTCCTTCTTCCCTGACATAAAGAGAAAGGAAGGCTTTCCTTTTTTCTCCTGCCTTGTTAATAACAAATAAGATAAAATTCTTCCTCCATTTAATTTGTGGAAAATAAAACATCACTTCTACTTCTGTATCAGGAGTTCAACAAAGTGGCTTTCTAGATAAACTATTTTGCCTCGGAGCTCTTTATTATGTCAAGTCCAAAGATAAGACAGGTTGAAACATCTCTAGTCATATGCTGGGGCAAGTTCTTATTTCCACACAACTAAGAGTTTCTGACTATGAACAAAAAGAAACCAAGTTTCTAAAGAAAATTTAGGTGCACTGTTGGAATTGTGCAAAAGCTTGCAAAACTGACCATGTTATTGGTGGTTACAGCTAGCTTATGTTGTGCACTTAAATAGTTTTAACAACAAAAATATTAGTAGCCTTTTACTGCCATATATATGGCACCCGGTTCTGAAGGCACTTCTGTTAATGACTAAGAGAAGGTAGAATACTTCTTGTTTAGATTTTAAGCTGTGTGAAAGACAAGCCCTACTATTTCCATAATGCAGGTATCTTAGAGGGCGTAATCTTAGCAGGAAAAAAGCCTTGTATGTTTCAGGAGTTCTGACTTGGTAAGAATTACAAATAGTTTCTCACTCCTTTCTGCCCCTGTCAATCAGAATAAACAATAAACAGTCCTGTCCACACCCAAATTAATAGCCAAGAGCAGCAGAATGAGGAGTAGTGAGAAGTATGGCCTATTTCACTCTTAGTCAGAAGAAAGGTTATGTTGACATTTAGTCTCAATATAAAAGCTACACTAGAGGTATTAATGACAATGCAAGAATCCTGTTACCCCTCCAAAAATGTAGCATCTATGAGAACAAACCAAATTCCTGAGAATCTTGCTATGCCTCAGACAGTGTCAGAAGGGTGCAGCTGTAATGAATTAAAGCCTGAAGGTAATTCTAGTCAACATCAGATTGTTGATATTACAGCAATCATAACAGATTGTTACAGATGTAACACTGACTATGACTTCAGAATGAGATATACTTTTGGAGCTATCAGACATACTGGTTTTTAGAACAGAAGCAGCATTCTACCAACTCCTCTGAATTCATGCACTATGCCATTAAAAATATTTATTTAAATATATGCATTTCCAAGAAAGAAACGGTGCTCTTCCTATAGCACAGAACCTCTGAAGTCTTACATTTAAAGGAAAGACAATTTTAAAAATTTATTGGAAACTTCTAAGCAAACCAAACCAAAAATACAAAAATCAAATCTGGAAGAAACAGATGAAACAAGCTGCTCTTATTAATAAGGCCCAAGGCAGATTCATATTGAAACGTCGTCTTTGAACGTAACTGTACGTTCCTGTCATTTGAAGCAGCATTGGCACACCTATCACCTTTCGACACAACCATGCTGAATCTTTATTGTTGTACAGAGAGGGGGGAAAAAGGGAGGCGAATAGCTCTACTAATTGTGCAGTCATCTTTAAATTCTTACTCAATGAGAATATTAAATGTCAGAAAGGAAGATAAAAAGGAGGGTGGAAACCAAGATTTTTCTTTCATGTAATCTAATTTTTCTAACAATTCTAGAAAATACATGCTCAAAGTTCATTTTTAGAAAAGACATACATTTAAGTCTTGAAAAATTATTGTACTTGTGGTTAAATCTAGATTATAAATTAACATATTTACCTCATTATATCAGAAAGATTGCCTCAGTATCAAGAATTGCTTGTTCTTGACTGATGCAGCATTTCATTATTGTATGGAAACAACTCATCAAAAATAGATTTGGGGAGTGGGTTGGAGTTCAGTTGGAAACATTTGATCACCTTAATGATGGGTTTCCAGTTCAAGAATTGTCCATTCCCCTTGAGGGGATGAACAGTCTTCAGATGAGAAGCTTGCCACTGTAATGCTTGCTGAAGAATCATCAAGTGGAGACATTAGTTCAGTCCACCTACTGAATGTGTCGACTTGTGATGTACCCTGAGGATTTGAACCATCTCGTGCCAGAAACAGTGTCTGATTGATAAGACATTGTGCTAAGTTAAGGTCTTCAGGAACAGAATTTTTGAAACCTATATTTGAGTCCTGCTCAGATAACAGTTGCCTGAGAAGAGTCCAGTCCTGTTCTGCAAACTGTTGATCTTCAAAATCTGCATCTAGAACTGCTGTTTCTGAATCCATCCTCTGCTCAATTGCTTCTCCAACATCCATCTCATATATTGGAGAAAGGGTTTTTGAAGGCCGATGCTCATACATGCAGGTTTGTGCCATTGTGTCATAATCATCTATGTCTCCTGAAATAATTCACAATACTGTACAATGTAAAAATTGCAGATGATCCTCCCCTCAGGGCTGTGTAGAGCAAAATTTAACTCATTCAGGAAGGACAATCCAACCAGGTTAAAAAAGGGGGGATGGAGAATTATACAAAATTGACAAAATTTGAGGCATTTATTTACTATATAAAAAACAAAGTATGATTTATAAATTAAGTTAAAGCAGCAATCACCACTGGTAATTAACAATAACCTCCATAATTAAGTTTCTGATACAGAAAATGACAATGTAAATATACACTTAATGCACATGAAATTTCTCATTTACTACATAAATTAAACTTAGACCAGGAGGTGCATGGAGGGAATGACTACTGAATGGTAACAAGCTATGTCAGCTTAGAAGAGAATTAAAACCAATATTGTTTATCCACAGGCTTCTTTCTACACTGCACATGCAAGGGCAGCTGCAGGCAAGGGCAAGCAAACTTAAAAAAAAAGTAGTACAACTTTTAATGTCTTCTTGTTCTGTGGTCTGGCTGAACATAGATCATCATCAGCATTTCATTACTCTTGAATACACAATAGTAATCAACACTATTGTATATTTTTGATGGGATAAACAGACTGAATTATTGGTATAAAGAAGACAAAACTAGACAAGTATTTATCTAGCTACATGAAACAAGTTAGAACTTTTCTGTATATAAGCATTAGTTCTAAGTATAATCTCTCTTTTAGTAAATAAGCTTTTACTGGTAAAATTTAGAATTTTAGACATCTTATAAGCTCTAAATCAGAGTTCAAACCTGCTCCCACTGATGTATATGGCAAATATTCGATTATATTCAGTGGGAGAAGGATCCAAATTTGTGTATAACATGTAAATAAATAAATTATAACAATAATGCATATAGCTGTTCAGGTGAACAGTTCAGTGCGCTTTAGTTAAGGTTATTACTGTAGTTATTGCACATCCCATTCAGACATACTATATGTTGTCAAGCAGACAAAACAAATACTAAGATTCCATCAAAAGCTGATGCTGTCAATGTTAGATTGGATCAAAAATAACTGAAGTACAGACAAGTGCATCCAATCTTTCTTTCAGCATAACATAAAATCTCTTTTCTTATAGTCAAGTTCCTCATTGAACAGCAGGGTATTGACGGATATTTCAAACAGACAAGCATTCTCTACCCAAGTGAAATACTTAAAAATATTTAAATTTAATATAGTTTCAGCCAAAATTACTTCAGTTCAGGATTCAATCCCAGACAAATTGCCAAAGCTTTCCCTATTAATTTGGTTTGGAATTACTGAATGTTTCTATTTCTGTACATTACCTGGAAGTAAATCAGTATTAGCGCTTTCAGTAGTTGCTGGTTGCTGGTCTCTCACTGGACCTTCCTGAGTCAGTATCTGATTCTTACTGGCTTCTAAGGGTTTTGCAGAGCAGCTCTTTTGCACATCAGAGTTAGTTTCTCTCTGATGAAGATCCAAATGACATGGTCTTTCTTGAGATTTTGCATCATTGTCTAAGTATTTATTGCACTGGTGAAATTCACTAGCCACCTCATTCTTCATATTTACTTTTTGTTTTTCTCCTGGACATGGACTAGCTGCTAAATACACTTTGTCTGGGCAATTTTGTTCAGTCAGTGAAGCACCTTGATTCTCCTTCCCTGGTATTTCAGTGCCATGAAGATGTAGGAGAGAACTTTCACTTTTATCCGATCTATTGTCTCTGTCTTTATGCTGTTTGTAATCCAGGAATCCATCTTCAATTTCCAGTGAGTATCTTGAATAAAAAGTCTTTCCACGCTGCTCTTGTGAAACACTGTCAAATACTTCTGAGGGAGTGAGAGAATCTATTGAATGCTGATGTGAAGTATGAGTTTCCACTCGGTCATCAGATCCCAATTCTTCACATTCATCTACTGAAAGTAAAACAGATCGTTTGAAATTTTTAGTTTTGGAAAACTCTTGATTTGCAGTGTCATTTTCTGTTGCATCTTCAAAAGCTAAATTATCAATTCCTTGGAACTGCTGAGTAGGAACATTTGATGGAGGAAAGTTTTCTGCAACATTCTCTGCTTCAGATCTGTCATCTTCTGTTTCATCAGCAGAAGAAGAAACTTGGTCTGCTTCCTGAGTAAACTGTGCATTGCCAAAAGTAGAACTTTTGTTTTCTCTCGTATTGGTCCTTGCACTTTCTTGATGGGACCAAACTTCAGGTCTTTTTCTTGGTATTTCATCATCACTCGTTGAATTAACACGGAAGAGATCAGAACCCTCTTTTTTCATTTTCACTTCTATTCTTAGGCTGCTGTCATAAATTTTTAATTCCTCAGGTGTACTGGTGTCACTGCTGCTTCTTCCAAGAAAATCATGGCATAACATGGTGCTGCATTTAGAAATCCCTCTTTCATTAGATCCTTCATCATCCTGAGAGCCTCCAGCATCATAATCTTCTGATCTTGGTTTTATATCATCAGAGGATGTGGTTGCACTGCCAGTATCTGATTCAGGACTCTCTTTTGGATCTAGTGCAGCAGTACTCCAGTGGTCCATGAAGGGAATTTCTGCATTTTCATGGTTTTCTGGCATTTCTGTAGGATCCATAGGCTCTGTGTAACTAGGTGAGTATTTTTCTGTTATTTGTTCTGTGGAACATTCTGAAACATCATCTAAATCTGCTGTAACTGATTGGTATTCAGTCAAGGTTGATGGATCACACAGCTCCTCACCTGTAAGAAATCCCTCCATATGAATCAGAGATGATGATGTCTCATCCTCTTTATTGGTTATTGTTCTGGAAAAGCTTGGTACAGCATTTTCACCATAGTTAAAACCTGTTTCAGAGTTTAATTTATCACTTTGTTCAGTACAGACTTCTGTTGCTTTTGAATGTTTCACGAGTTCTCCTGAAGCAGTAGCCTTTTGATTGGTTTCCTTGGAAAAGTCTGAGAATCCATCACTGGAAGACTGTGCATGACAGTGAAATTCAGCTGTATTATCATCTTTCTCTGTATCTTCAATCTGTTTAATTCCAATCTGATCGCCACAGATTTGTCTTGCTTCCATTTCATTTTGCTGTGAAACAGCCAGTTTAGGAATAGTTTCTTCTGTAATTACAGAAGAAGAATCTGCTTGTATTTTGTATTCCACGTTTTCAGAATGATCTGATAATTTTTCTTTATTGGGCTGACAGGACTCCAGCAGTTTATCTTCACTGCTACTTTCCATCACAGATTTTAAAGATTCACTTTGCTTTGCAGAAAAGCATTCGTTATTGTCATGCAGGTGACCTGCCACAGCATCAGCCATGTTTTTTTCAAGTTTCTGTCCTGAACTTCTGTGCTCAGAGATGTGCACATTCTTCTGGACAACAGGAGATTCACTCCTTGAATGTTTTTGGGCAGAGGACTGAGATTTTAATACAGATTGCCCAGCTGTTTTCGGCTTTGGGTCTTTATTATTAATAATCTCAGCATGCTTTGATGGAACCGGAGTTTTAGGTGTTATTTTTGCAGTGGCTTTTGCTACTGGTGTTTGTGACTGCTTAACACTCTTCTTCTTGGCTGAAGGTTGTTTTTCTGAGATTGTTGTCTGAACCAGATGTTGTAGCACATTTTTTTCTTCATTATGTTTTGGAGACATTCCTGATTTCAGTGAATTTGGAGACTCCCCCTGAGGTCCTAACAAACGGAAGAAAAAAAGACTATAAAGATTGTATATGCTAGTCAAGTTATATTAATCAAATTTATGTTAGAGTTTATGTTGAGAAGCAAGTTACTCAACATTTTATGTAACTAAAGGATTTAAGGCTTGTTAAAAAATTAAGAATTGAGATCTTAAACAAATACTAGACATAAATACCATCTGGTATTTACATACTATCTTTAAAACTAAAGCACTTTATGGACTATAAATAAAGGAATTACTTCAACCTGTAACTGAAGCAGTCATCACTGCAGTAGAAAGCAGCAGCTGTCTAATAGCGCACAGAAACACTGCACAGCAGCTTAGCACAGGAAGTGATGAGTACTGTGTTCTATTTATATTGTAGAGGAAATGAAAGTAGGCAGAAAATAATTAAATTAGTCATAATGTGATTAGAATACCAGAATTAATATCCCTGCTCAGTCAGAAAATACTGCAAGATCTTTAATGACCATAAATTGACAGGATCTGTATTTTCTATATCATAATGCATTTAAGATAATAGAACTTGAATATTCATTGCCCCCCACCAGTAAGTGCCAAGTCCAAACAGGATTAAAAAGAGCTCTATCCTTAACACTATGTATTTTTATAAAGCAGGGTTTCCTCTGTGGAAATGTCATTTCCCACACTTGATATAAATAGCTGTTGAAATCAGGTATTCATTTGTGGGGTAGGTCAGTATCAGTAGTGCTACCTCTAGAGGGGATCACCAAAAAAGGGAAGCTTAAACTAACAGTTCATAAAGAAGTCTGCAGTCCAGATCTTTGATGCATATTATAAATGCTTGACCTACAGAATTTCTGTTTAATTCAGTCATGGTTCAACTGCAGCAGATCAGCAAATAAAGACACTGCAAAGCACGTTAGACAAGCAGAAGAAAACACCATTTGACAGGGAAGACCATCTTTTAATATTTCAAAAGTTTATGCACATTAATTTGCATTTTACAGTTTAGGATTGTCACCAAAATAAACAGAATTGTTCAGATTTTGCCGAGTGCTTGCACTAAAAAAACCCCAAAGCCACAACACCAAAAAAAGACAAAGCTTTGCATAGTAATGGCAGATTGTTTAATTGGTGTTTGAAGCTTTACCTTGGTTCTTGGGAGAACTGGTAGGTGTGTTTTGAGCCTTTTGCTGTCCTGAGGAATTGCTACTCACATTCCCTTTTTTCTTTAGGACAGCTTGTACATTTTGTTCATTACACCCTTTTCCAGTTGATTTTTTTGTCAGACTGCAAAGAAATTATTACATCCATTATTTCCAA